GAAGGGTCTAGGCCCGAAACGTCAGCCTTCCTGCTCCTCTGATGCTGCTTGGCCTGCTGTGTTCATCCAGCTCTACACCTTGTTATCTCAGATTCTCCAGCATCTGCGGTTCCTACTATCTCTGAAACAGGCACAGGGGTGTGGAGCAAAAAGCAGCAAGGTAGACTCAGGAATGAGGAAGGATATGTTGGAGATGTAAAGGAGTTTGGTTAAAACACAGATGGAGTACTGTGTGGTTGCTCTGGTCATTTCACTGTAAGAAGGAAGTGATTGCACTGGAGAGGGTGCAGAGGAGATTCACCAGGATGTTGCCCTGGGCTGGAGTGGTTCAGCTACCAAGAAAAAAATTGGGATACTTCTATCTGCCTCCCCCTCTCTCCCTATTTATTTCAGAATCCCCTTCCCCTCCCCCATTTCTGAAGAAGGTTCTAGGCCCGAAACGTCAGCCTTCCGGCTCCTCTGATGCTGCTTGGCCTGCTGTGTTCATCCAGCTCTACACCTTGTTATCTGGGATAGGGTGGCGTTGTTTTTCATAGAGCAAAGAAGCCTGGCTGGGAGGGTTAGGGGGTGAATCTGACTGAGGTGTATGGGGTACTGAGGAGAGTAGACAGGATAGATGGAGAGAAATGTTTTCCCCTATAGCCGGGGGAGGGGTGGTGTTGGTGGGGGCGGCGGGTGGGGGGCGGTGGTGTCAATAACAGGGGGCGCAATTCTGAAGCAAGGGGCCAGGAGGGGATTTGAGGCAAAGAGTTCCCACCCTCCCTAACTCACTTTAAAAAAAGATAGTAGATGCAGGGACCCTTAAGAAGCGAACGCTTGAAATGCCACAGCAGACAAGGCTTGGGAGGGAGGGGGAAGTGGATGGGAGGGTGGGGAGGAGGCAACTGCTGGGAGATAGGATTAGAACTGATGGGTGGTTAACGAGGGACCTCTTCCTCCAGCATGTTAGGCTGTCTGCATGCCTTGGCAAGCTGGTATTGTGTGGCAGTGCTTAAAGAGTACCCCAGCTCGCTGCAGTCCGTCCCGCAGCTTTCCAGGCACAGTGGGAGTGGCAGCATTTTTTTTTGCTGTCGAGCAGGACGGCGGAGGAATGGGGGGAGGTGGGGGGGGGGGAGGCTCGTCAGTTCGCTGTGGGCTGGGTCTGCTATAAAAGGGGCCGTGCAGAGCGCTGAGAGCACACTCGAGCGAACGAGCCCAGCCATGAGCACCGCAAGCTACGAGTCCTACTTCCACAGGAGGCGCTATGGAGACAGCGCAGCGCCCAGGACCTACGGAGCTGTCCAGCATTTCAGGAGCAACTACGGCGGCAACGTCAAAGCGGTGTACAGCTCGTACTCCAGCCCTGCCTTCACGGCGAGGAAGGCCCACAGCATCTCGTCGGCCCTGGACAACTTCGACCTGAGCCAAGCCAGCGCGGTGAGCAGCGAGTTCAAGGCGGTGAGGACCCAGGAGAAGGCGCAGCTGCAGGAACTCAACGACCGCTTCGCCAGCTTCATCGAGAAGGTCCACGAACTGGAGCAGCAGAACAAGGTGCTGGAGGCCGAGCTATCCCTGCTCCGCCAGAAGAACGGCGGGCCGTCCCGCCTCAAGGGCATCTACGAGCAGGAGCTGCGGGAGCTGAGGTTGGCACTGGACGACGCCAGGCACGAAAGACAGGCAGCCCAGAACGAGAGGGACCACTTGGAGGAAAGCGTCAAGAACCTGCAGGCCCGCTACGAGGAGGAGCTGCTCAACCGGGAGGACGCCGAGGGTCGCCTGATGGAAGCCAGGAAGGGCTCGGATGAAGCGGCGCTGGCCAGGGCCGAAGTGGACAAAAGGATCGAGAGCCTGATGGATGAGATCGCGTTCCTGAAGAAGATTCACGAGGAGGAGATCGCCGAGCTGCAGGCTCAGGTCCAATACACCCAGGTGTCCGTGGAGGTGGACGTGGGCAAGCCGGACCTGTCCTCTGCCCTGAGGGAGATCCGGTGCCAGTACGAGAAGGTGGCAGCCAAGAACATGCAGTCCGCCGAAGACTGGTACAAGAGCCGGTTTGCCGTGCTGGCCGAGAACGCTTCCAAGGACAACGACGCGACCAGGCAAGCCCGGGACGAGGTCATCGAGTACCGGCGTCAGGTCAAAGCCAAGACCCTGGAGATCGACGGCGTCAGGGGAATGAACGACGCCCTGGAGAGGCAACTGCTGGAACTGGATGAGAAACAGGGCGGAGAGATCAGTGCCTTACAGGTAAGAGAATGGAGCCTGGACCAACAGGGCAAAGGTCCACACGGGGCTGGGAGCGGGAGGGAGAGAGAGACAGGGGGTCCAGCGGTGAGAGACCAAGAGAGAGAGATTCACACACAAACAGCCAGGGCTGTGGCGAGGAGGGAGAGAGAGAGAGAGAGAGAAATGCAGGGGGATGGAGAGATAAATGGAGAGACAGAGAGATGAGGGGGCGGGGAAGAGAGAGTCGAGGGGGGTGAGAGAGAAATGGTAGGGGACAGTGTGTGTGTGTGTGCGAGTGGAGGGGGGAGAAGAAAGTGTCATTTAGAATCTTGTTCAGTCAAAGCGGACATAGGCGCTGACCCTGCGTTACTAGGGATTAAAAAAAGAACAGGGCACGAAACGGCAGCGAGAAACTTTGAACCTAGGGGGTCTCTGACAATCTCTCTCCCACCCACGTGCCTCTCCACAGGATGCCATCAGCCAGCTGGAGAATGAACTCAGGACCACCAAGAATGAGATGGGCCGCTACCTGAAAGAATACCAGGATCTGCTGAACGTGAAAATGGCCCTGGATATTGAGATCGCTGCTTACAGGTAGTTGACGGCGGTTCCCCAGTTGTGGGTGGGACTGACACAGGGAGGGGTCGCTGGGAACTTCCGCTCCTTCCCCACAGATGGCAGTGTCCCTTCCTTGGTGGGTGGAGTGCCATGCTTCTGCCTGTTTGATTAACAGCAGGGGGGGGGGCGTGGTGAAGGGGACCGACCACTCGGCCCTTCCATTCTAGACCTCAGCCCCACCCAGAAGCCAGTGACAGAGCCACTGCGTCCAAAGGTACCCGCTCCTCTCCCAGCCCTTTACCCACACCCCTCCCCCCTCCATTGCAGGGGGCTGCATTGCACCAGTAGGGTGTGGCTCAGGGTGGCGTATCTATACACACGTCTGGCGCAGTCTTTCAAGTAGCCTGAGGGTGTGCCAAGTGTCTGTTCCAGCGAACAGCCCCGCAGGCTGAAATACACCATTTCAATCGGGAAGGGTTGGTTTGGGATGGGGGTGGGGTGGTGCAGGACAGAGGCTGAGGGGGTGAGATTGTTGAACGTGACAGCCTCATTGTACCAGGTACACGTTTGCCTCCACTGTCTCACACTGTAAGGCCATCATTCCCAACACAGAGCCCCGCAACGTGGGGTTTCACAGGCGAGGGGGTGGGAGGGGGTGACGATTATGGAAGGCTTTACTCAGTGTCTTTGCTGGGTAGACTGTGAACAGTAAACAGCTGAACCCGTAAGCAGGGTAAGAACAGTCGAGCTAGACACGAGAAATGGGCAGTTCGAGAACCAAAATGGCCTGAGCGGTTCCTGCGTCGAACACGCTGCGCGCATATTCACTGGTGTAACTCTTGAAAGGAAGTGAGCTGTAGATATGAATATACAGAGACTTCAAAATAAAAGCTACTTTACCAGGCTGCGGGGAAAGAGAAAGGGACTGCCCCCCCACCCCCCCGACCAAGTATGGACATAGGCACAGGGCCAAGTCATTGTACAAGCCTGCAGCACGAAAAGGCTGTCCCAACTTCTCCGATTCTGAAATGCTCTCACCGCGTTGCTGTTCCGTTCTCAGGAAACTGCTGGAAGGAGAGGAAACGCGCATTAACTACGCCAATGTGGGCAGCTTGATCGGCAGCTACTCCCAGACTGCCGCTGCCCCGGTCTACAGCCGCTCTAGTTACTCCCTTCAGACCAGCGCCTACGGATTGTCCAGCAGACCCGTCCTGTACAGTTCCTACGGTAGCAGCAGTCAGATAGAGGAGGAGGAGGAGGAGGTGGTGCAGCAGACCCGCGCTTTGGCAGCACAGCTGGAACCCCCAGCGGACAAGGCAGAAGACATGGAAGGTAAGAACTTTCTCACCAGGCCAGCAGTTCCGCGCCGAGCTGCCAACTCAATCACTGGCACATCCTGGAGCCAGAAGGGGTGGTTTTGAAGTGACACTGGAGGGTGCCGCTCCCAAAGCAGGAAGTGGAGAGAGCTGAACCATTGTAGGAACGTCCCTTAATTGAGATGTGAAACTCAGGACCCTTCTGGTCTTGCAGTGAACATCAAAATAATGTCTCACTAATCTTTCATCAGAGGGCAGGGCAGGGCAGGTCTCTCTCCTGGCCTGGGAAAGATCTATCTCACAACACTGAATCACTGATACAAAACATCATATCCCTTCCTCCATTGTCTTTCCTGGCATTGTGCAAATTGGTGTCCCCAACATGACAGCTGTAACTGCACTTCAAAACTACATAGTTACCTGTAACATATTTCTGATATTTTGTGATTATAGAAGGTTATCCCAGTTGCTGAGAGAATTTTCACTCTTTGAAACAGAATGCATGTTGCAGGAAATGCAATCACTTAACACTCATACAGCATAGAAACAAATTGATAGGTCCAACTTGTCAATGCCGAACTAGATCCATTTGTCTCCATTTGGCCTCTCTCCCTCTAAACCTTTCCTATTCACGTACCTGTCCAAATGTCTTTTAAATGTTGTAATTGTACCTGCAATTACCCCTTCATCTGGCAGTTCATTCCATACACAAATAACCCTGTGTCAAAAAGTTATCCCCTAGTCCATGACAAAGCAAAGTTCAGATTTAAATTGTTAATTTTGGCCTAACATCGCCAGTCCTTAGATTTTATTGATGATATTGTCAGACACTGTTTGTATTCTTGGGATTCAACATATACACTCATGTGTTCATGGTCTCATATCCACAAAGCAGTCTTCAATCAGAAAACGCAATCTTCAGAGGGAACATGCTTGGCACTAACATTCTGCCTTGATTTCTGTTTTATTTTTCAGGTGAAGAGCAGGAAGGAGGAGAAGGAAATGGTGAAGAGGCAGAAGCAAAGGAGAATGGAGAGAAAGAGGAAGAAGAGGAAAAGGAAAATGGAGAGGAGGCAGATGAGGAAAAGGAAGATGAGGAGAAGGAGGAAGGTGAGGCTGAAGGAGAGAAGAAAGAAGAGGAAGAAGAAGGGAGTGACAAACAGGAAGAAAGTGAAGAAAAAGGAGAAGATGCTGATGAACAGAGTGCAGGGAAGGAGGAAGAGAAGAAGTAGGCAGGCCAAAATATGGTCAACAAGGTATTGAATTCAAAGAGTGGGCAAACAAGTCCAGCCATCCAATCAAATCTGAGCCAAAGATACAATACAAAGATGATCCACTGAAAGTTTATGCTTTATGTGTTAAGATTGACTCCATAAATAATTTAAGAAAAACAAAGAAATGCTCGTGCAGATTGTGAATTTAATGATGCATAAGCATGGTTAACTTTTGAGGAATGCAAGCCATGTGATGTATAGAAATTCTAAAGTACCTGGTTATATTATCTTGTCATTATGCAGTCATTGTTAAACAAGGATCAATGTACAATTATCTAGAAAAGTAACACAGGACAATATGATGCAATTTTGTGACAGGGTCAATCACAATGGATGGTGCAAGCGACAATAAATGCAACTCGCAGCAAATACATCTTGTCTGGTTGTTTAACTCATTCACAGCTATATAATATTTATAGCCACAGTCTCTCTCAAATGTGTTCAAATTACAACAGGGGTAATCATTCTAGAAACAGGAGTGGGATGTTTTTCATAATTCAATGGGATTGCAGTGTCAGTGACTGAAACAGAGGCAATTGAACAATAAATGTGTTAGATGGTTTGAAGGGATATGGCCACATGTCATTGGTATGGGTGATCAAGATGATTTACATGGGGAATAATAACAAGTTTGGGTCCAATGGCCAATTCAAGTCAAATTTTTTTTCTTGATTTTATTTCAACTTAGACCAAGTTTGGAAACACAAAGACCTCAGCACCAAACACACAAGTTGAGGATCTAGTCAGTCCTTGGAAGTTTACATCGGCACTCATTAATGCAGTGAAAAAGTAAAATTATTTGCACTGTCCCAGGAAAGGGGATTGAGAGTTTGAGGGATCCATATTCAATCTTTCATTTCAGCTTGTCGCACAACACATTTCAGAGATAAGACTCCTAATCCCTGAATCTCAATAATCTCAGTTTCCGTTTGACATGACTTTGGATTCCATCTCCCAGGACAAATAACAAAATTCACCTTGAGCAAATGCTCCGATCCAATTTTTTAAACCCAGCATACAATTTTGTGAACTTTTCAACGCATGAGATCTCTTAATTTGAGAAGGGAATTATCAGTTCCTGAGTTACTAAATTAGCAATTCAAAGCTAGAACCACCTTTAGTCACCATCGCCTTTTATTTGAAACTCAATTTTGAAAATATTTTGTTATCTACAAGTGCACTCCTGTGCAGAATTTACCCAATTACCAGAACACATCTTCCACTCTTAAATTCTAGATGGTTTTGTTTTATTTCTTTCCTCTGAGAGACACTAAAAGCACATGAAAAAACAGAAAGATAAAAGAAATTGCCAGGTCCATTTCGATTTTCCCCATCAAGCATATTTCTCCTGTAAAGCACACTTGCCTAGATCCAGAGCCCATATGATCTCACAGAAACAAAGTCACTGAGACAAATCGTGGAAAGGGATTCTTCAGCTGATGAAAGATGACTTCCAAAAGAGAGCAATGCTCATGAGGAACATCTCATGTCCCCTTCATATACATAGACACATATACATTGACAATCACTTTACATCTGCTGCATGAGTCAGCAAACTGATCCAACCAGTAACAAGTTTTATGGAAAGGCATCACCAATATCCAAGCTGGTCCCTTGTTTCTGTAAAGTATAAACATGTACTATCCATTCTTCTCAACAGGCAAACAAATAACCTGTCCGTGTGTACCCACACTGCTTACCTTAACTAATTCAATCATGTCACAAAACTCACATTCTTCTCTTCACAACTAATCCATTGCTTTATGACTATTATGATTACCAAATGGTCAGACTGGTTCTTAAACTTCAGTTGTCTAGGAGTTGCAAAGGCATTTTCGATTTTTCACTTTTGGGTGACCTGAACTGGGCAGACTTCTGGATTTTTAAACAGTTAACCTGGTGTCTGCAATGCTCCTTTCATGATCATCATACAGCAAACATCTCGAGGGCTCTTGTGATGCAGTGGTAATGACCTTTCCTTGGAGCCAGATGGGCCTGGGTTCAAGACTCATCTACTCCAACATTTCTGAACAGATTGTTTGGAAAATACAGACAGTAAGCATCCAATGATATCTCCATACAATATTTCAACTTCCAAGTGGAACCAACAGTTTAAAGAACAGCTTCTTCCCTGCTGTTATTAGACTGCTGAATGGACCTCTCTAACCTCAAATAATGTTGATCTTGCTTTGTGCACCTCCTGCACGGCCATAACCTTGTATGCCTCACTTTGTCTAAGCACTCTATAGTCTGTATATCCTTGTTTGATATGATCTGCTTGGACTGCTAGCAAAACAAAGCTCTTCACTGTACTTAGGTATATGTGACCACAATAATTCAAATCAAATCAAAATTGTCACTAATCTTTAATATCAGTCCAACATTAAACTCCCATCAACTGCCAAAGTTAAGTATCAAAGTAGGGGGTTTCAATTTCTGAAATTGCAGACCAATGTCACCTCAATTTGATTTGAAAATCCTTACCTCCTTCAAGACCGGTTCTTCATCAACTTCACCACAATCAACTTTAATGTCAACAACACACAATATAAATAGTAACTACTCACAGGCTACAGGGGTGAGGATAATTGCAAAGCAGCCATTTAAAACCTTCACCCTACCCCCAAAACACACCGGAAGGAGGCTGGGAAATTTTTCGATTGCCTTGTAATTCACTTCCATTTGACTGACAGCCACAACCAAAATATAGCAGCTGACCAATTCCATGATTTTCAACAATTTAGTACACTGACCTTGTGTCCTCCCACAGCAGCTTACAATGCTTTAAGAACAACAAATCATTTCTTCTCCAAAGTGTTTCTTTTTAAACTGCAAATGTACTTCTGTTCAAATCCTCAGTGATTTTGCACATGACCAGTCAGCCATCTTGTTTTTATCTTGTGACCTATTTTGACTAAAAGGGACCAAGCCAGTTCATACTTGGAATACTTTATACGTGTTTTATTTCTCGTCTGTGTTTGTGCTAACCCCATTAATTGCTCCATTTAGATTTGATTCCTTTAGCTTCTGCAAATCAAGAACTAGGATTGATTATTCAGGTGTTGTACTGAGATCAAATTACTGTGCATCACACAAACTTTGAACTGATCACAGAATCTTAGAAATCAAAGTGAAACATTTGGCTATGAACGCATGAATCTGGAACAGAGGTAGTCCATTCAGTCTCTTGAGCCTGTTTCGCGATTCAATGATATCAGAGCTGTCTGATTGTAAGCTCAAATCCACATTCTCACCAAAGCCGGATAATATTTCACCCTTTACTTCAAAAGAATATATCTACCACTGCCTTCAATATACTGAAAAATTTCACTTCCACCGCCTCTTAAGGAAGAGAATTCCAAAGAGTCACCACCTTCTCAGAGAAATAATTTTGCCTGATCTCCATTTTAAATTGATGACCCCAGATTTTTAAACAGTGAGCCCTAGTTTTGGACTCTCTCACAAGAGGAAATATCCTCTCTGCATTCACTCTGACAAGATCAGTTGGGATTTTACTTGTTTTCTCTTGCTCTTCTAAATGCCAGCAGAAACAAGCCGAGCCTGTTCAAGCTTTTTCATTAGACAATCCACCCATTCCAAGTGTTAGTCCAGTAAACCGTCTGCTGCTTTTATTTATATGCTTCCTAAAATAAGATGACAAATCATCTAATTGGGACTCCAAATATGGTACTCCAAATACTGCTCCAGGGAAAGGAGCAGTGCTCTGTACAACTGAAGAAAAATTCAAATGAGGTACAGAACAAACATTCTGCCACAACTCAGCACTAAAGCTGTTTCAGCATCACTCCTTTCTTGTAATACTAGCAATAACATAAGGTGATAATCTTGTTGGAAGGTGCCTTGTTTTTGCCAGCTGGTTGTTTGCTGTTCAGATCTGTTTTACTGCAATATGCAAACTCATTCATCTGAGGTGCGACTATACTATGGCTTAAGAGGTCTATTTTGTCCTTTTTTTAATGAAGAGAGGTTGAGACAGAGGTAGAAAGCAGTCAGCTCAAAGACATTAAAGTAAGTAGCTTGTGACACCTTGTGGTTTTTCAGAAGCAGCCTGAATGGGTGGGGTCAAGCTCCCACAGAACCAGGATGTTTAGTTTCAGCTTTCTGCAGTTGCTGGGGTCTTGAAGCTGGATGTGGAATCTCTTATTTCTCTCTCTGTTCCAGCTAAAAGCTGGGGGTTCTGTTCCTGCTGCTAGAATTGCATGTGAGACAATCTATTTTACTGAATTTACCGTTGCCAGGGGTGTGTTTATGGGATGTTACTATAATGGAACAGTTAATTAGTAGTCATTAATATGTCTATTACTTTGTTAAGCATTGTGATAGTTACAGTTAAACTTGTTTTTATTTTGTCTGTATTTTAACTGTAGTGTAAAAATAAAGTGTATTGAGTAGTTTGACCAATCAAATTGCATCTGGAATGCAATGTCTTATATTTACCATTAAAAAAGGATAAAGTTGGGGTTTGGATATCTTCTTCATTTATTTTGAAGGGGTTTGGCCTGGTCCCTAACAGAGGAATTTGTTTCAAATCTGTTTAGCTGCTTCTTTCAGTGATCTTGTTTTTCTTAACTCTTTAGTGTCCTGAGTAGGCATTTACTTTTCTCATCCTGTTCATGCACCGTTAGCCTAAAGTTAAACACCCCGCCACCCACCTCGACATAGAAAAGTGCCATCAACACCAAGGACCCATTCTGGGCTAAGACTGGTGCACAGATTGTGTGAGGAGAGGACATGGTTTACTGATGCCAGATTTAATAAAGTTGGAACAATGTTAATTTTTCGAAACAGGAAGGAATACCATCAGCCTTTTTCATGGTTTTCAATGATAACATCGTCTCAATGGTCAAACACAGTGGTTTAGTTTCCCAAGGATTATCATGACTGACAGTCTGGGGATTCAATTGCAAGCCATCGAAATCTTGCTAAAATGTGAAGGAAGATCACACTGCTGATTACTTCTTTCAATCTCTGATAATCCTTTCTTTGACCGTTGTACAAATTGTGGCCCATTCCCTTGTTGTCTCTTGTTTTCTTGAACAGGGTAAAGCAGAGCATGAGAATTCTTTGTTCCAAGAGGACTGAGCTGCCTAGGATTCTTTCAATGGTTCTCAATTCGACAAGTTTGACCCCATTGTTCTTTTTCTTCACGATATCTAACACAGGTTAAACAGTGTTCTGCAAGCAGTCATTGGAAAGCAAGTATTGACAAGACTATCATTCATAATATCAGTGAGATTAAACTCTGATATTCATGCCTGGCCTCACTGAGTGACATTTACTCCTTGTCCAGCAATACTTGGATTTCTAAACTCCCATCTCCATGCTTAAATTCCTTCAATGTCTCATCT